GTAGCTCAGTGATAGAGTGTATTAGATTCTGACTTGAATCCCAACTTTCAAAACAGAAGGAAATGTGTATAAACACTGGGACATGTGGGATGAACTGCACATCTTGAGAGCCTGCCTATCCCAAGCCCTCCCTCATCTTGTTTAGGTTTTAGTTTGACAAATAGGGATCAGAAAACAAACAAAACAAAACTATGAAAACCTTCATTGCCAGAGGCTTTAAATTTCAAAGAGCAGGATGAATGGGCAGGTTGTAATTCCAGCTCTTAGGAAGTGGAGAAAGGTCTTTTTTGACTATATAACAAGTTTGAGCAAGCCTAAACTATATGAGAATCCCTTTCTCACATGTTCTTAAAGAAAATCTATCCTGTTTAAGGCCACACCTCCCTCCTGCCTCACCTCCCAGCTGTACACTGGGAACTTTCTCCCAGGACCCCAGAAGTGCATCTTTCACCATGACATGGCTTCCTGTCCACCTAGCTCCTGTTCTTTGATGTCCTTTGCAGAAGTTACATTCCATTATGTCAGGAGCATGTTGTTTAATGTTCATGAGCTCCACTGCTCCTCTTTTCCTGACATTCAAGCAGTTTCTGGTGGGAAAGGGGGGCAGATATGTAACCTATAAATGTACCCTTAACTCCCTGCCATAAGACCTGGATACTGCTCAACTTCCTGAGTTTCTCAATCCATTCATTTTGCCACTGCACTCAGAAGGTTCAGGAAGGAGGATTCCTTGAGCCAAGGAGATAGACACTAGCTTGGCCAACACAGCAAGAATATCTCCCTCTCTTGGTTTTTGTTGTTGTTGTTTTGTTTGTTTGTTTTTTTAAGACAGGACCTCATTCTGCAGCCAGACTAGTCTGAAATGCCTTATGTAGCCCAGGCTAGCCCCAAACACTTGGTTTTACCACTGCATTAGCCCAACTGATTTCTCATATTCAGTCCCCTCTACCCTTCTAGTTTATATGCAATAGGATATATTTCACAGTACAAATATGATGAAGTCATGTTCCAACCTTTAGTGACATCCTATTAGATTAAATCACACCTCTGCTATCCTTATTTCTAAGATTTTCATAATGGCTTCCATGTACCCCTGCCCCTATTCTCTCCACACTCCAGCCTAATTACATCTCACTGTTGAATTGCAAATCCTCTTTGTATAGAGGAGATGGATGTTAGAACAAGAAAACAAAACGTGATGATCATCCAACTTGTAATCCCACTACAGAAAAAGACCTGCCTGAGTCTGAAAGGCAGAAGGATCCACCAGAGCTTGAGGCTAGCCTGGGCTAAAGGTAAAACCCTATTTCAAACATACAAAAAAGGTTTTTGTTTACATTTTTGTTACATTGTTCATTTGGGTTGGGGGAGTCAAAAGATGATTTCCAGGACTGTTCTCCTTACCTCATAGGTTCTGGAACTTGAACTCTAGTTATCGGGAAGCACTTTCATCCACTGAGCAATCTCTCTGGCCCAAGGTTTGTATTTTTGTTTTTTGTTGCTTTGTTTTTATGAGAACCAGGCTGAAAAACAAGGACTTTAAATGGGAAAAATATAAGCCAGAGATTCAGATCAGTGATTAGATGCCTGCCTAGTATGTACAGGGTCTAAACTGAGGTTTAGTCAAGGAGGAGAAAGTTATAAACAAAGCTGCAGATGTAGGTACTTACCTAGCATACACAAAGGCAGTGGGGAAGTGGGGACAGGAGAATAGAGGTTGGCTACACGAGTTTGAGGTCAGACTAGGCTACATGAGTCCCAGTCTCAATGAAAAGCAGGAATAAAAATGGGATCAGAAATGGCTCAAGGGTTAGGAGCACTTGCTGCTCTTGCAAAGGTTCAATTCCTTACACCCACATGGGGATTCACAACTATCTCTAACTCCTTTTGCAGGGGATACAGTGCCCTATTTTGTCCTCTGTAGGCAGCAGGCATGCATGTGATACACATACATACATGCAAGCAAAACACACATTTAAAAAATGAATAAATCTAGAGCTAGGCGTTGGTGGCACTCGGAAGGCAGAGGCAAGTGGATCTCTGTGAGTTCGAGGCCAGCCTGGTCTACAGAGCTAGTTCCAGGACAGGCTCCAAAGCTACACAGAGAAACCCTGTCTCAAAAAAACAAAAAAAAAAAAAAAAAAAAAAAAAAAAAAAAAAAGAAAGAAAGAATAAAAAGAATTCTAATTTTAAAAATTAGATAGCTCATCAGTTAAGAGCACTGGCTCTTCTTCCTGAGGACCTGGGTTCAATTCCCAGCACCCACATGGCAGCTCACAACTGTAACTCCAAGATGTAAAACCCTCACAGAGATATACATGTATACAAAATACCAATGCAAATGAGATAAAAAATAAATTGAAAAAAAATGGAAGACCTGGTCTTTGAATTAGGCTACAAGGAAGATGGAAGGAGTAAAACTCCCTGACTTGCAGAGAGGGCTCAACAACTAAGAACACTGGCTGCTTGCAGGGTGGTGGCGCAGGCCTTTAATCTCAGCACTCAGGAGGCAGAGGCAGGCGGAGCTCTGTGCAGGCGGGTCTCTGTGCGGGCGGGTCTCTGTGCGGGCGGGTCTCTGTGAGTTGGAGGGCAGCCTGGTCTACAGAGCGAGTTCCAGGACAGCCAAGGCTACACAGAGAAACCCTGTCCAAAAAAAAAAAAAGCTAGAGATTGAGGAAGATTAGGAAGAAGGAACAGAAGTTACAAAGCAATGCTAGAAAAGCAGAAGAGAAGGACAAATTGGTTGAGCCTATTTTCCCAGGCAGAGAGCCATCATCGCTTCTTGTCTTCTCGACTCACTGTGCCCCTGGGAAACATCCACCATATTTTTCAGGTGAAAATCCTAAATGTCAAAAGATTAAATAACTCACCCAAGGGACAGGGCCAAAAAAATGAAAATGCTGGGAATGGTTAGTGAGGAGAAGACAGTCAAGAAGCAGGGGCTCCACACTAAACAGACCCCGAGGCAGCTCTTGATGTTTAGCAGAATAATTCCATGCATTAAAACACTCAAATAAAACATGGGGACTGGAGAGATTTCTCAGTGATTAGGAACACTGGCTGCTCTTTCCAAAGGATCCTGGTTGAATTCCCATACCAACATTACAACTCATAACTAACTGTCTATAGCTCCAATTCTGGGGCTTCTGGCACCTTCACAGACATACATGCACTAAGCCACCAGTGCTGATAAAAATAAAAACATTTAAAAAACAAACAGCTAAGCACTGGGCCAAGGTCCAGGAGTCCTGTTGAAGAGAGGAAGGATTGTTTGAGCCAGAGGGATCAAGGTTATGACAGGACCCTCAAAGACAGCTGACCTGAGCTCGAGGAATCTCTCCCAACTCTGAACAGACAGGGAGCCTGCATGGAACCAACCTAGACCCTCTACATTTGTGTGACAGTTGTGTAGCTTGGTCTGTTTGTGGGGTTCATAGCAGTGGGATCAGGAACTGTCCCTGGTACTTGAGCTGGCTTTTGGGAACCCATTCCCCATGCTGAGTTTCCTCTCCCAGCCTTGATGCAGGGGAAGGAGTTTGTTTGGTACTGCCTCAACTTGATGTGCCATGCTTTGTAGACACCCATGGCCTGCCCCTTTCTGAATGGAGACTGAGGAAAAGTGAATTGGGTAGGTGTGTGTGAGAGAGAGTGTAGAAGGGAGTGAATGGAGAGGAGGGAGGGCAAACTGGTAAGTATATAAAATAAATGGAAAAAATACCCAAAACAACAACAACAAAAAAAATGAACAGTGTGATGGTGGTGGTACACACCTTCAATCCCAGAACCCAGGAAGCAGAGGCAAGCAGATGTGAGTTTGAGGTTAGCTTGGTCTACAGAATGAGTTCCAGAACAGTCAAGACTGTTATATAGAGAAACTTTGTCTTGGAAAACCAAAAACTAAAACAAAAGCAGAACATAGCTGATCATGGTAACTTATGCCTTCCACAACTCAGGAGTCAGAGACAGGTGGATTTCTATGATGCATTCAAGGCCAGCCTGATCTACATGAGTCCCAGGCCAGTTAAGCCTACGAATTGATACCCTGTCTCAAAATAGTCAAGGCAGAGAAGGAAGTAGGACCAAGTAGAAAACTAAAGGCAAGAACTATAGTTCGATGAGTAAAAAGTAAGAAAAGAGCAGCTGAAGCACAGGCAAGCAACAAGACTTATAAAGCTAAGAATAGTTGACTTCAAAAGATCTGTGTGGAAAGAAAACAGCGAGCCACTCTGCTACATTAAAGCAGCTATACCCTTGAACCAATCCAGAGTGTGCTTCCCAGGAACCCCAGTCCAGCCTTCTGCTGCTCAAGGACCTTGGCTCAGGTATGTGTTGTGTTTGATGGACAGCGTATTCTGGGAGAAGTCAGGTAAAGGGAGGCACTAAGGAGCCATGGAAAGAAGGCTTGAGGAGGTGGCTACAAAAGAGGCTGGGGAGGAGGGAGCAGTGTTCAGATCTAATGTACTATGCCTATTTCTATAGCTGAACTATGCTTCTCTGGGTGGGTTTTTTGTCCGATTATCAACTATTTAATAAGTAAGTGCTCTATGCCATCTGTGGAGCTGGGTGAAGGTGACCAAAGCAGATGGTGGGATCTCTGTCATCCCATCATCTGCTTTTGTCACCTGTTCGTGGTTCTCAACTGTGGTTGGGGTCACCACGACATAAGGAACTATATTAAATGGTCTAAGCTCCTGCGGGACTGCAGTATTTTCGGGCGTCCCTACGAATGCTTCTGTGTTAAAGGCTAGTTCTAATGTGTGTTCCTCAGATGGAAAAAGTGAGGAGATACAGAGCGGGGCATCGAATTAGGAAGCTTTGATCGTGCTTCGTACAAACAAACCAAGAGAAATGCGTCGACCCGCAGCAGGGATAAACGAAACTTTCTCCACCCAGGTCAGCGTTTCTCCTACGAGTGGGGCCGGGGAGGAAGTCCCGCCCAACGCGCGCCCAGGCTTCCGCTTTTGGCCCTGCTGCTCGTGTCGACCGGTCCCGTGTTGAAAATGGCTGCCGTCGGAGACTCTGAAAGCGGTCCTGAAAGTTACCGTTCTCCGCTGGCGTCCCGCTATGCCAGCCTCGAGATGTGCTTCCTGTTCAGCGACAGGTACAAGTTCCAGACGTGGCGGCAGCTGTGGCTGTGGCTAGCGGAGGCTGAGCAGGTAACTGTCCGTGCCCGGTGTGGGGAGGGAGGTCACAGCCCGAACACCTGTTGCCTCGGCAACAGTCCCGGAGACCTGCACATCCTTTGGAGGACTTAGGGTTTTGGGAGTTAGTTTCCTTCCATAGCACAGCTCGAGTGGCATGCTCGAACCTTGCAGGCTCAGGGGGGAATGGCGCTTGCAGCCAAAGCTGCTGACCTGAGTTCTAGCTCCGGGACGACTTGGTGGAAGGCCCCAACCTGGTGGCTCCCACTAGCTGTCTTCCGACCTTCACGCACGCACGCGCGCGCGCACACACACACACACACACACACACACACACACAGACACACACACACTAACTAAATTTTATATATATATATCTGCTTAACAAACTCTAGCTACTTTTTTTCTTTTCTGAGACTGGGTTTCTCTCTGTGGCTTTGGAGCCTGTCCTGGAACTAGCTCTTGTAGACCAGGCTGGCCTCGAACTCTCAGAAATCCGCCTACCTCTGCCTCTGGAGCGCTGAGATTAAAGGCATGCGCCACTACTGCACGGCTTCTCCCACCTTTTTAAAAAGATGTATTTATTTTTATTTTTTGTAGAAATGTTTTGCCTTCATGTGTGCATGTTCACCATGCACACACCTGGTTGCCAGGAGAGGGAACTAGTTAACAGTCTGTTGTAAGCTGCCATGTGGGTCCTGGGAACTGAACTTGGATCCTCTGAGTCATATCTCGTAGTCCTTGATTTTTATTCTTGTAAGGGATAAAAGCAAGTCTGTAGGGATTTTTATTCTTGTAAGGGATAAAAGCAAGGTTTGCCCTAGGTACTCCACCTAGCTCCTGACAGCAGAGCTGGGATTTGAACCTGAAAGCATTCCAGAGCCTGAGCTGAGCCCTTAGCCCCTTTGTCTTCCTCAGTGTTTTGAATTTAGTGACAGTTTTGAGACCTGTTTCTGGGCTGCTATTGCCTCTTTTTTGTATGTGTTTTGTTCTGAGAACAGAGGATCTGGGCAGATGTTTATTACAGAGGATTCCTGGGTTTGTGGGGTTGTTTTGGTGGTGGTTTGATTTTGGTTGTTGGGAAAGGGGATTGGCTTGTCTGTCTTTTGAGATAACATCATACTGTGTAGCATGACTGGCATGTGGCCGGCCTCAAACTCACAGAGATGGGCCTGCCTCTGCCTCCCAAGTATGAGATTAAAGGGGTTCAACAACACAGACACATTAATAGTTTCTCTTACACACACCCCCTCTTTTTTTTTTTTTTTTTTTTTTTGTTTGTTTGTTTGTTTTTTGTTTTACCAGTCAGGGTTTCTCTGTGTAGTCTTGGTTGTCCTGGAATTTGCTGTGTAGACCAAGCTGGCCTTAAACTCAGAGATGCATTTGCTGCCACCAGCTAAGTGCTAGGAATAAGCCATTCACCACCACAGCCTGTTCTCAGCCCAGTATTTTTTAAAAAATGGATGGGGGAAGAAGTTTTCCAGAGGAGGTGAAGGAAGCTGGAGGTGATTTAGAGAGCTGTAATGTTTCTCAAGTTTAAGAGCAGGTTAGCAGGTAAGTACCAAGAACTCAGTGGCTAGGACAAGCCTTCATCCTGCATTCCCAGTCCAGCCCCTCCACTGTGCTTCCAAACATCACATTTCTCCAGCCCTGCCTTCCGGCCTCTGCACTGCTTTAAGCCTTTTCAGTAGTCTAATAGTGCTTAAGCACATATAAACTGTGTGTTCTTCTCTCCATTTAAGGCAAAAAAAAAAAAAAAAAAAAAAAAAGCTGTAGACTGGAAAGTTAAGGGCTTGAGCTGCTCTTTCAGAGGACCTAGGTTGAGTTCCCAGCATTCATGTCAGGCAGCTCACAACCACCTGTAACACCAGCTCTAGGGATCCAATATCCTCTTCTAGACCTACTGGAACCTGCACTCGCGTGAAAAGGCCACACACACACACACACACACACACACACACGTTTTATTTTAATGACTTTTTGAGATAATATAATTGCATCATTTCTCCCTTCCCTTTGTTTCCTCTAGCCTCTCCCATGTAACCCCTGACACACACCTTGCCCTTCCCCAAAATGCATGACCTCTTTTTCTTTAATAGTTTTTGCTGGTATGTATGTTCTAAATATACATATACTTGTATGTATGTTTTTCGAGCTGGCTCTCTCTCTCCTCTCTTTCCTCTCTTTCCTCCCCCTCCCTCTCTGAGACAAGGTTTCTCTTTGTAATCCTGGCTGTCCTGGAATTTACTCTTGCCTCTGCTTCCCAAGTGCTATGATTAAAGGCATGTGCTACCACTGCCCAGCCTCTTTGTTTAGGGTTAAGGCCTCATGAGCTTCACCCCTTCCGTGTTAGCATGGCTATTGGTGTCATCCTTGTTCAGGTCTTGTTTCCTCTGCCATGTTGGTGTGACTTCATGAGTACAGCTTCTCTGACATTTCTAAGAGACACAATCTCACAACAAACCCCCTTTTCCTTTAGCTCTTACAGTCTTCGGACCTCCCTTCCACCATGATCTCTTAGCTCTATGTGCAGTTGTGCTGTAGATGTATCAGTTGGGATTGGGCTTCACAACTCTGTTTTGATAGGTTGTAGTTTTCTGTAGTAGTTTCAGTCCATTAAGAGAAGTTTTTTTTTTTTTTTTTTTTTTTTTTGATGAGGGCTGAAACCTACGCTTACCTGTGTGTATAAAAACAAACATTTAAAATGTAGTTTACAGATTGTGCTGGTTTAGTAAATGGCTTATAGTAAATGGTTGTAGGTTCTCTAAGATCCATGATTTCTAGATGGCTATGTTTCCAGAACTGGGCATGGTTTTCCTTTTGTTTGAGCAGGTGTTAAGTCCAGTTGTAGAGCTGTTGATGATCACCAAGAAATTCATACCACTATTGCTCTCTTAGGGTTATAATGTCATGTTGGTCACTTTTTTAAAAAAGATTTTTTTTTTTTTTTTTTTTTTTTAATGTGTATTCTGTTCTCTCTGCATGAATGCCTGCAGGCCAGAAGAGGGCACCACATCTCATTACAGATGGTTGTGAGCCACCATGTGGTTGCTAGGAATTGAACCCAAGTCCTCTGGAAGAGCAGTCAGTGCTCTTAATCGCCGAGCCATCTCTCCAGCCCCCATACTGGCCATTGTTATGGTTCATGGGCATCATAGTTGAATAGAACTATTGGCTGCTTTCTGCCTTTGGAAGTTTGTATGGTGCAATTTTTCCTTGGTGGACAATGGTAGTGAACGCCTTTAATCCCAGCACTTAGAAGGCAGGGGCAGGCAGATCTCAGAGTTCAAGGCCAGCCTGGTCTACAGAATGAGTTCCAGACAGCCAAGCTATGCAGAGAACCCCTGTCTTGAACCTCCCCCTGCCCCCCATATTTCTTGTAAAGACTACTTATATAGCTTAACAATTTTTTTTAAAAACCACATCAGGTAAAGTATTTTTCTTGTACCTGTTTCATAGGTGAAGAACTGAAGCTTGGGGAAACATAAGCTATTGGTTTCCTAACAATCGAGAGTAGGACCTTACATGCAGTGTGCCTTGTGTTGTACTCTTGTCATGATACCCACGTTCTGTGGATGAGGGTGGTAGTGTGCAAGCCGTGTTGGAGTCACCATAGTTTGTAAGTGACCTGAAGCTGAAACTGGAGTGTGAGGGTTATCTAGTTCACATATTGTCGAAACATACACAGCTGTGGGTGTGGATTATCTGTTAGAGCATTGAATTAGTAGCAAAAGTCAGCTGTGGTAGTCCATACCTTTATTAAAGCTTTGTTTTTATTTTACTTTTTTATGTGTACTTATGTGTCTTTACATGGATATGTGCTTGTGTGAGCACAGGTGCCAGTGGAGGCCAGAGGGTCCCTTGGAGCTGGAATTACAAGCGGTTTTGAGCAGCCTTGTAGGTGCTGGGAACCAAAGTCAGATCCTCTGCAAGAGCAGTAAATGCTCTTAACTGCTGAACCATCTCCCCAGCCCCAGCACATGTGTTTAATCCCAGCATTTGGGAGGTAAGGGGAGGTGAATTTCTATGAGTTCGAGGCCAACCTCATCTACATGCCAAGTTCCAGGCCAGCCAGAATGCACTAAGACCCTGTCTCAAAAAAGAAAAAAAGAAAAAGAAAAAAAAAAAAAGAAAGAAAAAAGAAAAGAAAAAGTAATAGCATACATTCCACAATAACTGGTTGAGTTGGGGAAATGATGAGGTGCTAGACTGCTGGCTCAGCAGGTAGGAGCCCTGGCTGCTCTTCCAGAGAACTTGAGTTCATTTCCCAGCAGCCACAGGGCAGCTCACAACCATCTGTAACTTCAGTTCCAGAGAGTCTGACGCCTTCTTTGGCCTCCTCAGGCACCACATACACATGTGAGATGTATACTATGTATACTATACATGCAAGTAAAACATAAAATAAAAATAAATCTTAAAAAAAAATAAGAAATGACCCAATAGAGGTGGGTCGTTTAATCCTATTGAATTAAAGGTAAAGGCAGACAGGTCTCTGCGTTTGAGACTAATCTGGTCTACAGAGTTCCGGGACAGCTAGGACTACATAGAAAGCCTGTCTGGAAAAATAAAACAAGAGAGAGAAATGAAAGATTAGGAGGAATACAAGAGACTTGCAGCATCAAAAGTGTGGATCCGTATTGGTGGGGGTGCAGGGCACACATGGAGGTTACCTGACCAGCATTTGTGGAATGGGTTCTCTCCACCTCCGCATGAGTCTCGGGCTCTCCTTGCAAGTGTTTTAGCACTGAGCCAGGCTTGTTTCCTTTGGTGACGGTGTTTGACATGAAGCCAGAATTCTTCTGCTTCTCCTTCCCAAGCACTGGACCACAGCATGAATTGCACTAAACCCAGCATTATGAAATTGTTCATTTTGAGTTGCTGTAAGTACATCTGAGTCAAGTGGAAAGCCACCACACTTTGTACACTTACGTATCCTGACTAAGGATTAAATAATAAATAAAACAAAGGTCTCTTCTCGTGTAATATGCCTTCAAAAAAGCTGAATGGTTTAATTAAATGTGTGACAATGTCATACAGTGTGCTAGATAAAACCAGGCTAAAGGAACAGCATTGGTTGATATAGGATGTTTTACATGGATGTTAGAGAAGGCCTTTCTTGATGACATTTGAACCCAGAGACTAGAACAATAGAGGCAGGCGTTAACAGTCAATATCGGGACTCTACTGCTTCCTGTTTGGGAGTTTTCTTAGAAAATTCCTTCATGCCTCCTTCCAGAACCCATACATTTGAATTTGTTACCCCAGGTTTTGATTTAAGAGTTAGTTCATTTTATATACTTGAACATAAAGGTCACTGGATTTTGTTTTGCCTGTTCCACAGACCCTGGGTTTGCCCATCACAGATGAACAGATCCAGGAGATGAAGGCAAATCTGAACAACATTGACTTCCAGATGGCAGCTGAAGAAGAGAAGCGCCTGCGGCACGACGTGATGGCTCATGTGCACACGTTTGGCCACTGCTGTCCGAAAGCTGCAGGCATCATTCACCTTGGTGCTACCTCCTGTTATGTTGGAGACAATACAGTATGAGTCTCTTCTGTTTGTCCTTGGGATTCAGCCTTTATAATGTATTTGTGTGTTTTTAATTTTCCAAACTTTCCAAGGGCCTATCCTGCAACTAGCTCTGAGGTATAGACCAGCCTAGTCTCAAAGTCACAAAGATTCACCTGCCTCTGCCTCCCAAGTGCTGGGATTAAAGTTGTGTGGCACCACCACCCAGCCAGAAATTATTTATTTATTTATTTATTTTTGGTTTTTCAAGACAGGGTTTCTCTGTGGCTTTGGATGTTGTCCTGTAACTAGCTCTTGTATACCAGGCTGGTCTCGAACTCACAAAGATCTGCCTGCCTCTGCCTCTTGAGCACTGGGATTAAAAGTGTGCATGGGCCACCACCAACCAGCTGGAAAATATTCTAATTACATATATTTACTTATTGGTAGGGGGTGAATAGACAGCCATGTTATGAGCTTGGAGGTCAGAGGACAACTTGTGGAAGTTGGCGCTCCCTTTCCAGCTTGTAGGCCCTTAGGATGCAGCTCAGGTTGTCAGGCTTGGCGGCAAGCACCTCTTGCTCAGAAAATCTTTTTTCACAAGTTCCCAGTGATTCTGTATCTCTATGACTTTTGTGACATAGGGATATGTTTTAGAGTTACCCAAAGTACTTTCTCTTACCTCTCACAAGAGCAGCTTGAAGGCTTGTGCATGTAGCTCAGTGGTAGGTTACTTGTCTAGTATTTATGAGACACTAGATTCTTTCCTCGGAGCTGGGGAAAAATATCGAAATTTCTTAAACCTTGATGTTCTAGATCATGCCTTCCTGTGCTAACAAGGATAGATGAACAGGGCAAAGTGGCTTCAACCTGTAATCCCAACACTGTAGAAGCGAGGCAGAGGCAGGGGATCTCTATGAGTACAAGGCCAGCCAGTCTGCATAGTGAGTTCTGTGACAACCAGGGATATATAGACCTTGTCTCAAATAAATAAAAATGTGTGAAAAAGTAGGAGAATACTAATGAAATGTGCCATCTAAGAAGATAAAAGCCCATGGACTTACAGTAAAGGTTTTGTTCCTTATGGATCCCAGTAATCCAGTAGTTGTACTGCTCTGTAAATTCCTCCCCACTCCACAATAGCATCTCCTGTAGCTAATGCTAATCTTTAGCTTGAGCTTGCTGTGGACAAGGATGACCTTGAGTTTATGATCCACCTTCCTCTATTTCCCAAGTGCTGAGATTACAGGTGTTTGACACCATCCCAAGTTAATGGTGCTGGGAATGGAACTCATGGCCTTGTGCATGCTGGGTGAATGAATATTCTGTCCACTGAGCTACATTATATACCCAGCCCAGCCTGACACTGTTTAATGTAAAAATCATTGAATTTTCCTTTCAGGACCTGATTATTCTGAGAAATGCATTTGACCTGCTTTTGCCAAAGGTAAGATGTTGACAGACGTTTCCTACCACTTTAGGTGCCTCATAATAGGAGTGGTCTGAAATTATAAGTAAATCCATTTAGTGTTGATACCTAAAGCTAATGTTCTCAAGTCAGGGACTTTTTATGTCATCTGTGGAGTTAGTTGTCTCCTCTTGGGTTACAACATAAGGTACAGTGGGGAAGAGAGGTGGGTGGGTTTCAGAATTGAAGGCTAGCCCGGAAGAGTGTGAGCTACTGCTTTTAAAGCATAGCAGGTGCAACCAAAGACAAGTTGCTGGAGTATTTCGTTCAGGCCATGACTTGGTCCTGGTATTTTGCAATGGTCTTAAAATAGTTTGTGCCATGTTAGGGAGTCGACTCAGTTTTCAAATGTTGGTTCCTATGATCCTTGTCCATGGCACTTAAAGATACAAAGGTGAAATGACACCAGTGCTGAGCTCAAGATACAATTTCATGTTAAATTTTGTGAACATGTAGCTGAAGTTACATAAAGAACTCAGTTGAATTCACCCTCTTCCCCCTACACGGTCTTTCTTATAGCTTGCTAGAGTGATCTCGAGGCTTGCTGATTTTGCTAAGGAACGCGCTGATCTGCCCACCTTAGGTTTCACACATTTTCAGTAAGTGATAAGATGACTGCTGGGGAATTGAACTTACTATGTGCATGTTGAGGTCAGAATCTCAGGGCATAAGCAGATATCTTGGGACACTGGTTGGAAATGTGCCCAAAGCCTTGATTAGAACCTTTTCTGGGGACTGGGGCTGTTGCTTGGTGGGAATGTGATTGTCTGGCATGCTTAAGAGTTCAACATCCAGCATGGCAAGAAAGAATAATTAAGCTACACTGAAGCCATGCATGGAGACATACAAGTGTAGTCCCAGCTCCTGGATGGCCTGAGGTAGAAGAATAGCTTGAGCCCATGAGTTCTGGGCTAGACCGGACAACATAGTTAGACCCACATCTCAACAATGAAAAAGATAACTTTGTAGTAATCACATCTACCTCCCTCCCTCCCTCTGCCCCTCCCTCCCTCTCTCCCTATCTTTCTCTCTGTGTGCATCCATGACAGTGCAAATGTGGGGTGAGAGGACAGCTTGTAAGAGTCCATTCTTATCTTCTATGACGTAGTTCAGGGATTGAACTCAGGTCATCAGACTGGGCATTACCAACTGAGCTATCTCACTGGTCCAAGAATTAGCAATTTGTTTATATTTATCAAGAACAAAGATTCATTCATGCTTTTTTCTTTTCATCTTTTTTTTTAATGTATATGCATGTTTCGCCTGCATGTTTGCATGTTTCTACACTACTTGCATGTCTGATGCCCAGAGAGACCAGAAAAGGCATCAGATCCCCTCATGATAGAATTATAGATGGTTATGAACCATTGTGTGGAATGGAGCCCAGGTCCTCTGGAAGAGCAGCCAATGCTTTAACCACTGAGCCATCTCTCCAGCCCTCACACTCCTTTCATTCTTTCTTTAAGAATCTAGTCCAGGTTAGGAATCCAGACTCGGGAAAAGCATTATGTCAGGATGTCATTTATTATATTGCTGGAAACAGTCTAAATGACAGGACTGATGAGAATAAATAATAAAGTATGGTATGCACAGAGATTTGAGTAATATCCAGTCAGGAGGCAGAGACAGGTGGATTTCTGAGTTTGAGGCCAGCCTGGTCTACAGAGTGAGTTCTAAGATAGCCAGGGTTATACAGAGAAAACCTGTCTCAAAAAAACCAAAGGAAAAAAGACAGTGTGGAAGTATGCTTAGGTTTATGTTATGGGAAAAAAAAAGAGACTTAAATAACACAAAAAGCAGGTTTAGTAATGCACTCCTTTAATCCTAGCACTGGGAGGCAGAGTATGTAGATCTCTGTGAGTTCAAGTCCAACCGGGTCTATGTACAGGTTCAAGGCCAGTCAAGGATACAAAGATCTTTTCTGAAAAAGAAAAGAAGGAAGAAAGAAGAAAGAAGAAAAGAACTTTGTTAAATTTGGCTACTTGGTTTAAGTGATAATAATTAAAAAGTTTCCCATTTTGGACTGTGTGTTAACAAGAGCTCTATCCTAGAGCTAGCTACACTCCAAGCCCCCTAGTTTCTGTTTTCCTTGTTTTGTTTTGTTTGTGATAGGTCTCACTGTGTAGCTCTGGCTAGCTTGAAATTCCTGTGTAGACCAGGCTAACCTCAAACTTGAAGAGCTCTGCTTGCCTCCTCCCAGTGATGAATAATGAGATTAAAAGTTGTGTGCCCAACACCAGGCTTGTAACTGACTTTTAGCATATGTATGCACTTTTATGGTTACTAAATACAGCCCTAAAAACCTGTGTTATCTTTGGGATGCTAAACTATTTTTAGTATATTTATAGTGTATGATAATTAGCACCTTAATTTCATAATATCTCCATCAGTGATCACTTCTGCCACCCTCCCCATCCTGGCAAGCACAATGCTGATTTTTGTCTGTAGATTTGCTTACCTTAGACTTCATCTAAAATAGAATCATGTATAGTACATGACCTTGTGTGGATGACTTCTTTCATGTAAAGTGTATCTAATATTCATGGTGCATCATTTCTTCTTATGGCTAGGCAGCATCCCATTCCATAGATATGCCTTATTTTGTTGGCCCCTTTATCAATTGTGAGCATTTTACAGCTATCATGAATAGTGTTGCCATGGACATGTCCACATGTCCACACAGATCAATCTGAGTGGGAGTCAGCAAGTCTTGTTTAGGATGACCTGGTGTATCCTTTATACAGTGATATAACTAGATATGTGGCTGGCTGTCTCAAGCATTTCTTGTCAACCTCTTGGAATATAGTCATCAACAAAACATACATTGTCCCTGGCTTTTGATTCAAATACGTCTAGGGGCTGCAGATGTAAGTCAGTAATCATATCTGTTAAGATGTATGAGGCTCTGGATGCCATCCCTGGGACCTTGAATGAAAAGAAAACAAAAATGTTTTTCAAGACAGGGTTTCTCTGTGTAGCCCTGACTGTCCTGGAATTAGCTCTGTAAACCAGCGTGGCTTCAAACTCTGAGATCTGCCTCCTGAGTGTTGGGATCAAAGGCATGTGTCATCACCACCTGGCAAAAATGCATAGTCTCTTAATGTATATTGGGGCCTATGGGTAGAGGTTAAGAGGACAGTGAAGGATCTTGATTTTCTCCTCCTACCATGTGGGTTCCATGCTGTCAGACTTGACAGCTGGCACCTTTACCCATTGAGCCATCTTACCAGCCCATGGTTCTGTTTTGTTTAAAGATAGTGTTTCCTTGAGTAATAAATACATGCTGGCTTCAAACCTGCCATCCTTAGCTTCCCCAGTGCTGGGATTATGGATGTATTAAAAAGATTCTTGGTAAAGCACTATGCTAGCACCCCTTTTTATTTAGTTTGTAGTGGCAATGATGCCCCTTCATCCCTCTTTGCTTTGGATTTTAGGTATTATCTTTACTAGATTATCCAGTTGTTACATTATTTCCTTTCTAGCTGGTAATGGTGGCTCTTAGGTGCAGGTAGGCCTCGACGTGGGACCTCTGTGTTCTCTGTACTCTTTTCAGGCCTGCTCAGCTGACCACTGTTGGAAAACGCTGCTGTCTTTGGATTCAAGATCTCTGTGTGGACCTCCAGAATTTGAAGCGTGTCCGTGATGAGCTCCGCTTCCGAGGTGTGAAGGGCACCACCGGCACTCAGGCCAGCTTCTTGCAGCTCTTCGAGGGAGATCACCAGAAGGTATTCTGAGGGACCAGCAAAATGGATACTTGAGTCAATTCCAGGACCCACATGATGGAAAGAGAGAACCAGCTCCTGCAAGCTGTTCTGATTCCATACTTATGTCATGTGAGTGTGTGTTCATACACACACAAAATAAAAAACATTTGAATATAATAAAATAGATGCCCACACAGCATTCATCTCTTAATGTATGTGGTACCCAAAATAAGATAGTCTGAAAGTGACCTAAGGGACAGCTCACCTCAGTAGTACCAGCCACAAGACAAGGCTTGATAGGATTGATCTAGAATGTGTTGGAAGAGGTTCAAGATCTGGCAGGATGACCAATTGAAGTATACCCAGATTGTACACCTGCATTCATTTTTTTTTTTTTTTTAATTTTCCCAAGACAGGGTTTCTCTGTGTAGCTTTGGAAACTGTTCTCAGACTCGCTCTGTAGACGATGCTGGGCTCAAACTCACAGAGATCCACCTGCTTCTGCCTCCAGAGTACTGGGATTAAACACATGTGTCGACACCACCCGGCACTCTTTTTTTTTTTTTTTTTAATTAATTTTATTTTATGTGCATTGGTGTAAGGGTGTTGGATTCCCTAGAACTGGAGTTACAGACAGTTGTGAGCTGCCATGTGTGTGGGTGCTTGGAATTTAATCTGGATCCTCTGGAAGAGGAGCCAGTGCTCTATTATTTTTGGTTTTTCAAGACAGGGTTTCTCTATGCAGCCCTGGCTGTTCTGGAACTCTTTCTGTAGACCAGGCAGACCTCGAACTCAGATCTGCTTGCTTCTGCCTAAGTGCTGGGATTAAAGGCACGTGACACCACCGCCCTGCTTTTGAACACCTGCATTTCTAATAGGATGTGTCTTGTCTTTTTTAAAGGTGGAACAGCTGGACAAGATGGTGACGGAAAAGGCAGGGTTTAAGAGGTATATACCTGGGGAAAATGCTGGCCTGTTAATGATGGGCCTCTAGATTCAACTGTTTCTTTTCCTCCTCTTTGTGTGTGTGTGTGTGTGTGTGTGTGTGTGTGTGTGTGTGTGTGTGTTTTACTTGCAAGTATGTGAGAAGAGGGCTTTGGATCCCCTAGAACTGGAGTTACAGATGTGCTGAGAATTGAGTCCAGATCCTCTGTAAGTGCAACCAGCGAATTTACTGCCAAGATATCTCTCTCTAGTCCCTTGTTTGTTTGTTTGTTTGTTTGTTTTATGGGTATGGGTGCTTTGTCTGTGTGTATGTCTGTATATTATGTGTATGAGGTGCCCATGGAAGCTAGAAGAGAGTTTCAGGGCCCCTAGAACTTGGCATTTCAGACAGTTGTGAACTGCCATGTATCCTCTTCAAGAACAACAAATGAAGCTGGGCATGGTGGCACACACCTTTAATCCTAGTACTCGGGAGGCAGAAGCAGGCAGTTCTCTGAGTTCCAGGACAACCGTGGCTACATACTAAGATCCTGTCTCAAAAAACTAAAAAGAAAAGGAAAGCAAGAAATGCTCTTAACTGATGAGCCATCTCTCCAGCCCCGTGGTTTCCCTACAGTAGCTTTATGCCTATTGCTGTTCTGTTTGGGTTTGCTTGTACTCTTCTGTTTATTTGTTTGAACTTGAATTCACCAAAGTCTTCCAACCTCAGCATCTCATGTTCAAGAATTACAGTTGTCAGTTGCCATGTCTGGAAGTGCACTGGTTTTGTTTCTTTCCTGGGACCCCTCAGTGAGTTAGTATAACTCCAACCACCTATGTTGAGCCTCCACCAGGCTTTTCCATGATTCCTTTTCCTTGGTATCTCCTGAAGCTGCAGAGGACATGAGCATAGTAGGTTCTGCCTCCTCCTCAGATCAGAGCACTTTGCTGGGGATTAGTAAATAGGGAAACAATTTCATTCAGGAAACAGTTGTCAGCATAACTGAACATACCAGGAAGCCAAGCCATCACTTAGGATCATTTTTGGTTTGTATGTATCATAGTCACCATTCATTCATTCATTCATTCATTCATTCATTCATTCATTTATTGGGATAAGGTTTCTCTGTGTAGTCTTGGATGTCCTGTTGCTTGCTATGTAGACCAGGCTGGCCTCAAACATAGATGTGCCTACTGCCTTTGCCTTTATGGTGCTGGGACTAAAGGCATGCACAACCACACCCAACTGAGGGTTACTTTTTTTGTTGTTGTTCAAGACAGGGTTTCTTTTTGTAGCTTTGGCTACCTTGGAACTAGCTCTGTTATTGCTCTGGAACTAGCTCTGTTGACCAGGTTGGCCTCAAACTCAAAGAGATATGAGATCTGCCTACCTCTACCTTTCAAGTGCTGGGGTTAAAGGTGTGCACACCACCACCACACAGTGACAGTCACGTATTTCAACAGAGATCTCTTTTGTGTTTATTTCTAGAGCTTTCATCATCACTGGACAGACCTATACACGAAAAGTGGACATTGAAGTGCTTTCTGTGCTGGCCAGCTTAGGGGCATCTGTGCACAAGGTAAGGTAACAGCTTATAGGTTGGGCGGTGGGAACTTTAAAGGAATCCTTGGACAGACCAAAGCAGTCCTGGGCTTTCAGTTAGTCTCGGTACATTAGTCATGATAATCTTGGACCTATGAGGAAAGACTTTAAGTGAGGTGTGCCAAAGGGAAAGAAGTTATTCCTACATCTACAACATATTCATCTATCGAAGGAGATGTTAACACTGAAATTCCCCAGCCAGGTATAGTCACATGTGCCTGTAATTCCATTACTTCAGAGGGAGAGGCAGAATTGGCTCAGGGTCCTCTTTGGCTACATAAGAAGTTGAAAAAGACCCTGTCTTAATGAGAAAGAAATGATAACCATATTGTCTTTCCATGATCTATCTATGTCTCTTTCTTTTTTGCTCTCATAAGTCAGGGTCTTGCTGTGTGACCCAGGCTAACCTCAAACTTGACCTGCTTGCTGAAGTGAAGACACACTGCCACACTCAGCTTCCTGATACCTTACGCAGTTCTTTGATTGAGAATGCTTCTATTGCTGTTCTGTGCTGCTTGTAATTCCAGGCCCTGTGCATTCCAGGCAAGCACTTCACTATAGAGCCACCTCCCACACTCTTTGCATTAGTCACCTCTGCTTTTCAAGAGCAGAGGAAAGCCTGAGTAGAAACTCTGGGAGCTCCCAGGTGGGTAGGGCTGCTGACCTTGAATTCAGCAACAGCACACACTAAGAGATTATCTCCTGCCCAGGAGTGTTACCTGACCAGCAGTGGTGATACACACCTTCAGTCTCAGCACCCAAGAGGCAGGTCGATCTCTGTGAGTTCAAGGCCAGCTTGCTCTACAGAGCTAGTTCCAGGACAGGCTCCAAAGCAATACAGAGAAACCCTGTCTGGAAAAAACAAACAACCCAAAAAGAGCTTATTACCTTTGTGTGTCTGACCTGGCCCCAGGTCCCCTGGGTAGCAAGGGTAGCATGATACATGGTCTGCCTCCACAGATTTGCACTGACATACGCCTCCTGGCGAACCTGAAGGAGATGGAGGAACCTTTTGAGAAGCAGCAGATTGGTGAGTGTAAAGTAGAGGCTGCTGAAGAAGCAGGTAGACATCCCCATGGCTTTCAGCATACATCTAGCTCATGCACTTGCTGTCCTGAGATGCCGTTCTATCTTTGCATCCTGTCCTCTTCCTCTTCTGTGGGCAGGCTCGAGTGCAATGCCATACAAGCGGAACCCCATGCGCTCCGAACGTTGCTGCAGCCTGGCCCGTCACCTGATGGGCCTCATCATGGACCCACTTCAGACAGCTTCTGTGCAGTGGTTTGAACGAACACTGGATGATAGTGCCAACCGGTCAGTAATGGGGACAACACATGGAGCGCAATGGGAGGAGGACTAAAGGAAGGAAGGAAGCAAAAAGACATATTTGAACATGTCCACTTTCTTCTTTATTCTCAAGAAGCTTTGATTGGAGCAATGTCCTTGGTGATATGCCCCTAGTGTAGGGATTGAAGAGTGACTGTTTACAATTTAGGAAAGAGTAGCTTAGTTAGTTGAATGCTTGAGTAGTATGCACAAAGCCCAAAGTTCCATCTCCAGTGCCTCCTAAAAGCCAGACACGGTGACACACACATGTAATTCCAGCTTTCTGTGGGGACAGAGTTGGAGGCAAGAGCATTAGAGTCAGCATCCACTCAGGCCTAGTGACCCTGTCTCAGGAAACGAGACATAGGCCCTTAAAGGATGATTAGGAGCTACACAAAGATATAGGCAAGAGGTTATACAGAGTTACCTAGTTGGCAGTGCATGGAGCTCTTTTGGCTAAGGTATGCACACAGGTAGCAGCTAGTCTACAGAGAATCTAAAGGCTCCAAAAGGAGTCTAGCTTTTGGTATGAAAACCTGTTTGTTCATGTCCTCCTGTCTGTTTCATATTTTGTAAATTTAGGTTATTTTATGTGTACAAGTATTTTGCCTACATGTGTATGTTTGCCTGTGCACCATGCATGCCTGGTACCCACAGGTCAGAAGAGGGTATTGAAATTCCTGGAGCCCGAGTTACATATGGTTGGAAGCTGGCCATATGGGTGCTGGGAACTGAACCCAGGCTCTTGTAAGAGCAATAAGCACTAACTGCTAAACTATATCCTATATCCTGTATACACTAAATAATCTGCAGGTTGCACATGATACATGATGGGTGAATAATTTCTGTCACTTTGTTTCTTAATTTCTGTCACTTTGTTATTTGGGGAATAAAATAACTGACTGCCAAAGTAGTTTATTTTTCCAAACTTTATTGACCTGTGGGTAACAAAAGCCATGGTTGCAAAACTGCCAGATACAGAAGACTGTGGTAGATAGTAAAACCTAATTCAGATGACCTGCAGAAATTCCCCAGCATCATTTAGGGAGTCCTGTGTGCAGGCAGCACTGAACAACATAGACCGTGTAAATGGACAAGACTGGTGTGAGTACAGTCAGCCAACTGGCAGCCTAGATGCTAACTGGAGAACTTGGTGACATCTACTGAGACAGGACCCACCTCAGGGGAGAGCAGGTTAGTAGTAGCAAACAAGAGACAGTGAGAGAATGGCCAGGTTCCTGCTGGAGTTTGAAGTGGAGCCTTAGGTATAAGGTCTGCTGCTCGGGCAGGTAGTATGGACCAGAAGTGGAGATAAGGGGGTTATGAGGACATTGGACTGAACGACATCATGAGACTGAAGGAAACTGCCCAAAGTACATAAGGCATGAGAAGCCAATAGGGCAGCTTCTTGGGACATACTTTGTGTGTCTCTGACATTTGATTAACTGAATGCATTTGTTTCGTAGACGGATCTGTTTGGCTGAAGCATTTCTCACTGCAGATACTATAGTAAATACCCTGCAGAACATTTCTGAAGGATTGGTGGTGTACCCCAAAGTAAGAGGCCTCTGGATATGGGAAGGGGAGTGTTCTAGAGTTAGTATATTGGGGTGCTATAGGCTGGCTCAGGGGGAGCTCTTCTACCAGACCTCATTCTTGAGTCCAAAACAGCATAAGTAACCAGATCTGTGTAATTCATAGATGTTCATATAGACAGAGAAAAACCCTGAATTGTTTTGACTTATGAGCAACTCAGGTAGCCAGGCAGAGAAAGTGGCACCAGTTGTTTTATTTTGTGAATGGGTTTTTTGTTGTGGTTGGTTGGTTGGCTGGTTGGTTGGTTGGCTTTTATTGTTTGAGTCAGGATCTCTCTATGTAGCCCTTGCTGATCTGGGGCTCACTACATAGACTAGGTTGGCCCCAAACTCAAATAGAGAGTCCTGACTTTGCCTCCTGGAATGCTGGGATTAAAGGCAAGCAACACCACACCTGGCCATTTGGTGCCTGAACCAGATGGAGTTTTCTCCATCAAGTACTCATTGAAGTGGGGCAATGAAACTTAACAAATGGAGGGAGGGTAAATGGTGTGTGTGAATGTTCTTATATGTGTATGTATCATGTATGTGTAGTACCCATGAAGAACCAGAAGAAGCTGACATCCCTTGGAGCTATAGTTACAGGTGATTGTGAGCAGCCATGTCACTGTTGAGAACTAAACCCAGTTGCTGGGCAGGAACAAGCAGCATTTTTAAGCTTGCCAGCTGATTGGTAGTTGTGTGTGTGTGGGGGGGGTTGTTTTGTTTTAAGACGGCGTTTGTCTATGTAGCCCTGGCTGTCCTGGAACTTAATCTGTAGACCAGGCTGTCCTCAAACAGAGATCCGCCTGCCTCTGTCTCCCAAGTACTGTGACTAAAGGCATGTGCCAACACTGCCTGGCTTAAATTGGTAATTTTAAGGGTTATTCAATGAAGCTGTTTCTGAAAGCTTCCTTAAAGACTTGTTTTTTTTTTTTTTTTTAAAGAAAGGGAGGGAGGAAATCTGGATTTGTAAGAAAACCGAGAAACACTGTCCTTAATATAGCATTGAATCACCCATCTCTGTCAACAGTAGCAGTGGCAGCTCATAGCCCTACTGTGCATTTTCCTGAGTTGCTGGGTAAACTCAGTGGCTTCATAATATTGAGACATCTATCTTGGCCCTTCTAGGTAATTGAACGGCGCATTCGGCAAGAGCTGCCTTTCATGGCCACAGAAAACATCATCATGGCGATGGTCAAAGCTGGGGGCAGTCGACAGGTATGTTAACAGGGAATCAAGATAGGTACAGTGGCACACACCTTTAATCCCAGCTCTCAGGATGCAGAGGCAGGGGGATCTCTGAGAGCTCTGTCCCCCCCCCCCCACAAAAAAAAAGGTGAATCAGAAAAATGGTTGTCATCAGATCTGAATTTCTCTGTTGGAAATGAGGAGAAAGCAAGAACCAATTAAGGTTTTGGGGAGGAGGAGTGTCCATCAGAATGTCTCTAAGCTGTGGTCAAAGAAGGAGTCATGGAGGAGTCACTCTAGAATAGCCACCTCAGCGGGGACAGATTCTATTGTGAAATGTCTGATAACTGTGAGGTCTACCCAGTTATGATGAACTTACACCACCTCACTTTTTCCCCAGGATTGTCATGAGAAAATTAGAGTGCTTTCCCAGCAGGCAGCTGCCGTGGTTAAGCAGGAAGGGGGTGACAACGACCTCATAGAGCGCATTCAGGCAGATGCCTACTTCAGCCCCATCCACTCACAGTTGGAGCATTTGTTGGACCCCTCTTCTTTCATTGGCCGAGCACCCCAGCAGGTAACTATCAAGGATACTTTCTGGAATATTGTCTCTATAATGCTGGTTGTAGGACCTGGACCTCCAGGGCAGTAGGGGAAATGTGAGAAGGGCCACTTAGAGAGACGAAAAGTATAGTAGAGGTTGGCCATAGTGGCACGGGCCTTTAATTCTAGCCTGGGTTACATAGTAAATTCTAGGTGCTCCAGGGCTTGCATAGAAGTATAGAGAGACCCTGTCTCAAAACTAACAAGTAGAGGACCCCACTGGCATCCCAAAGATTTCAGAATTCTGTCCCACTGTGGTATCATCAGCATGGCAGCCAGTACATAAGCATCACAGAACACTATCATCCAGCAGTTTGAAATGAAGAGTTTGTTTTGATTTCTCAAAGATCAGAACCTTGCTTTTATTTGCAAGGAACAACATGTTTAGGCCACAAGGACTCGTGTCACAAAAAGCCCAAATTCTTTCCAACTCCAGCTCCAGGGGATTCAGTTCATTCTTTAGCCTCCACTGGCTGCTGCATATACATACAGATATATACATAGACATGTGATTAAATAAAAATAAAGATCATGAGGACTTTGAGCCAAGGCAGTGGTCAGTACAGACAAGGGGAAGAAAGAATCCCTTGAAAACTGGTCAGATGGGACTGGGGCAGAGGATGGAGAAATCATATTGCAGTGTGAGTGCCCAGCAGACTTCAGAGCAACTGAAGAGGCACTGGTGAACCCACCTCTGGCATGATGGTGTTTGTGAATGTGCTGTGTTGACATGTTTGTCTGGGAGGATTAGCCAATAGACAGTTGAGGACAGCACATGCTCAGTGGAGGAAGCTTTAACAGGCTAGATCTTAGTGCTAGAACTGGTTTGAGGAAAGCACTAACATTTTCTTTTGTGTTTGCTCATCCCTGGCAGGTCCACAGATTCCTAGAAGAGGAGGTGTATCCCCTGCTAAAACCCTATGGGAATGTGATGGAGGTGAAAGCAGAGCTCAGTCTGTAGAATAGAAAAGTAGTAAGGAAGAATCATTGAGAATTTGCTGATTATATTGTTGAGAAATTAATTCTGCAGTGCCTCCTTCACTGCAAGAATGTACATTAAGAGGACGACAGTGGTGATCCATGCCATAATCCCAACATTCAGGAAACAGAGGCAGGTGGATGGATCTCTGTGAGTTCGTGGCCAGCCTGGTCTACAGAGCTAGTTTCAGGACAGCCAAAGCTACACAGAGAAATCCTGTCTCAAAGAAACAAACATAAAGAATATACATTAAATTTTGTTAAACATGCTTGTTTTCTCCAGTCTTTTGTTTTTGAGACAGGGTCTCACTGTGTATCCCTGGCTGGCCTGGAACTCACAAGAGATCCACCTGCCTTTGTCTCCCCAGTAGTGGGATTAAAGGTGTTCACCACCATTCCTGACTGTTTTCTTCATTCTTTACAGCAACATAACCTAGCAGAATAATGTAGCTCGTACTTGCATCATTTCCAGCTGCCTCTAGTCTGCAGAGTTTCCTGACTTACAATGAGACTGTGTCCCCATAAACCTTTGTAAGTTCACCTGTCAAACATTGTAACATGCTCGTAACGAGAAAGTTGTGGAGTACATACACTGTTAGTAATACAGTCAAATGTCTGGTGTAGTTTGTTAAGTCCTGTGCAGGCACACCTTGCCACACACTGAGCTAGACTCTTCTCTAGTCGTTTTAAGGTGTGTATTGAACTGTAAAGGAGCAAGGAATTCCTGGTCCTCATGAAAATGGGTTGAAGTCAAAAAAATGACCTGAATCCAATGATTCAGAATCATCAAATACCTTGATTTCTGTTCTTTTTGCTTAGATTCAGTAATAAATTTTGTAGCTAAAGAGCAGGAAAGAACGGTGTTGCTAGGTCCTGTCAGCTCAGATTGTACCTGTTTTATATTTTGGAGAGGCTTGCTTATCTGGGAAATGCTAACTGGATAAATGGATTCTATCAAGGCATCTGCCAGTCTTTGATCTTTGTTAAATAGATTAGTAGCTGGTGAGACAAGCTAGTCAAAGCTTGAGTTATGAATTATCCAACTAGAAGGGGAACATTAGGCGTAGCCTTGCCTCGGGCTGCATATTTTGATCTAGATGAAAACTAAGGGGTGGAGAGATGGCTAACTCAGCTAGTGAAGGTCAGCCTAGTTTACACAGTGAGTGTCAGACCAGTCCAGGCTACATAGATAAACTCTGCCTACAGAACTAGGAGAATTAACTAGGAGAAACTAGGAGAATTAACCAACTTGGTAATAACTGAGATTTCATCTGGCAAGGTAAATGTAAACAAGTTGACCTTAAACTCAGTAAGAGCCAGAGCTAAGGGGGCTAGAGAGATGGCTCAGAGGTTAAGAGCACTTCCACAGGTCCTGAGTTCAATTTCCAGCAACTACATGGTGGCTCACAGCTATCTATAGTGAGATCTGATGCCCTCTTCTGACATTCGGACATACATGTAGGCAGAATGCTAGATACATAATAAGCTAATCTTTTTCAAAACAAAACAAAAAAACAAACAAACAAAAAAAACTCCTTGTAAAGTACATGTGACCTCTTCCATAAAGATGGGTTCTGTATATTGATTGCATGTGACATCTTAAGGATTTGGGGGAGTATACATGTGACTTCTCCCATATGGATAGCTTCTATATATTAACTAAAGAACAATACTCAAGATAAGGGTCTGGGGAGGAGGACTGAGATAAACCTAAGAGTTTGGGGTAGCCAGGTGTGGCCTGGCCATAGCATATTGCAGAGGTCACACACAGCCTGTTAGCCACATCCATTCCTGTCTGTGTTTAACGTTTCTGGTTTCCGTAGTACTTACCTGTGAGCACAAGGACCTCTGTCCCCTACAGCATAGCAAGTGCTTTAACTACTGGGCTGTCTCCCCAGGTTTCCATTGAACCTTTTGAGGTAGTCTGATTGAAGTGGGAGCTCACTGATAGGGCTAGGGTAACTGTCTGCCCAAAGAGTGTAAGAGTCCTCCCTCCTTATGCCTTTTCCCTAGCACTGGATTATATATACGAACCCACCACGTTTGTCTTTTTATGTGGGTTTGAGGGCTCAAACTCAGGTCCTTGTGTTTTTACGTTAAACACTCTGCCAAATGAGCCATCTATCTCCCTGGCACAGAAAAATGCATTTGTAAACCTTCTCCCTCCTGAAGGTCTCCCTGTGTTGGCCCTGCAGGGCTCCAAGTCTTATTATGATCAAGTAATCCTGACCCAGCTTCCTCAGTAGTTGGAACTACTTGGGCACATTACTACTCAGGGCTTCCTCTTGAAAAGACACTGAAGGATCCCTATAGTTCAGTTATTCAGAAGGATGGAAATGTATACCCTGCTTGGGCTATAGGTTTGGGCTTTGTTGTTGTTTTGTTTGTTTGCTTTAGTTTTTTTGGTGGGGGGGGGTTGTTTTTTTTGTTTTTTGTTTTTTTGGTTTTTTTTTGAGGCAGGGTTTCTCTGTGTAGTCCTGGCTGTCCTGGAACTAGCTCTGTAGACCAGGCTGGCCTCGAACTCACAAAGATCCATCTGCCTCTGCTTCCCAAGTGCTGGGACTAAAGGCTGAGCCACCACCCACCGCCCAGTTTGGGTTGCAGGTTTAAAGGTAGCCTGGGTAACCTAGCAAAGAAACAAAAGAAGACAGGTTGTCACTCAGTTCATAGAATACTTGTCTAGAATGCCAGAAGCCTTGGTTTGATCCTCAACACAGCATAAACTGGGCATACTGGTATACATTTGCAATCCTAGTAATCAGCCTGTAATACAAGCCACTTTATCTCAAAGGGGTGGGAATATTTGAGATAACTCAGGGGTGAAAGAACTTACTACCAAACCTGATAACCTTCATTTGACCCCCAGGATCCACATGGAGTAAAGCTTGGACCTCCACATGCATGCCTTGGCACACATGTCACAGCACAAAAATAGGTAAAATATAATTAAAAAGAAAAAAGATTAAGGGACCAGCCATAGTAGCACATGTCTTTAACCCAGAACTAGGGAGGCAAAGGTGGAAGGGTCTCTGTAAGTTCAAGGCCAGCCCGATCTTCATAGTGGTTCCAGGACACTCAGGATTACACTGAGGCCCTGTCCCAGAGATAGAGATTTTGAGAGATTAGGGGTATAGTTGGGAAAGGACTTTAATAGCAAGCTGGAGGCCCATCTTGAGTTCCCTGTACTGATGTTTGAGATTGCTGTGTCTAGCACAAAGAAGTAAGTTGCTGAGCTTGATTTGAGTACTTTTGTCTATTCTGAAAGCTGCTCCTGGGAAGCCATTTCTCTTAGAGCCACAGCAGGCATTGGGGCACATCAAATACCAAATTTTTTAGTTAATTTCTTCACAGACGATATGGAAACAAGATGGGCCTGCTCAGTTAGACTTCTGTGCTGACAGCTGGTTTAGCCTGAGTACTTTGAATGGGTGGGTTTATGTGTTACTTTGCTTTTTTGTTCCCTGTATTTACACACTTGTGATTAGACTCTTTTAAGTTCAATCTGTTTCCCCTGCGACATCTAATTGGAGCTGCAAGTTTGCTGGAAGAGAGAAACTTACTTTCTCTAAAATCAGATTTTGAGATTTGGTGCCCCTTTCAGGCCTGCATAGATACATGCAGGCAGAACCCTGTAAATATAATAAATAAATAAATTTAAAGAAAACCCTGATCAGAATCACACTGGACAGCAGGGAGTGGGCAGATCACACAGTCGACAGGCTTCTTGTCCAGCTGCAAACAGCTGTGCACTTGCTGTCTTCTTGTGTTGATATCAAATATATCCTTAAGTAGAAACACAGTAGCATAATCTGGACTGGCATAAATCCTGAGTGCTTCCAGGAGTCAAGTGAGCTGGGACTGTACAAAGAGGTCTGTCACAGAACGTATCCAGGAAATACCATGTCCTGGGGCTGTAGAGAAAGCATGAGGACCCAGGTTCAGATCCCAGTACCCACTTTTTGTTTGTTTTGTTTTTGCTTTTTTTTTTGAGACTGGGTTTCTCTGTGTAGCCCTGGCTGTCATTGAACTCTCTCTGTAGACCAGGCTGGCCTTGAACTCAGAGATCCACCTGGCTCTGCCTTCCAAGTACTAGGATTAAAGGCATGTGCCACCAGTGCCCAGACAGTACCCCCCTTTTAAAAAGCTTAGTGTGTGTGTGTGTGTGTGTGTTGCGAGGTGGTGGCTCATACCTTTAGTCCCAGCACTTGGGAGGCAGAGGCAGGTGAATCTCTGAGTTTGAGACCAGCCTGGTCTACTAAAGCTAGTTCCGGGAAAGGCTCTGAAGCTACAAGAAACCCTGTCTCTAAAAAACAAACAAAAAAACAGTGTGTTGGGACTAGAAAGATAGCTCAGTGGTTAAAGACACTGACTGCTTTTCCACAGGACCCAAGTCCAATTCCCAGCACCCACATGGCAGCTCATAACTGCCTATAGCTCTGTTTTCAAGGATCTGACAACTTCACAAAAACATATAACAAGCAAAACACAAATGTACATGAAATAAATTAAAAAAAAAAAAAGCTGGGTGTGGCCACATGTGCTTGTAATTCCAGCACTGTGGGCAACAGAGACAGGAGGATCCATGGGTTCAGTGACAGATCTGTCCCAGGAGAATCGAGTGGAGCATAAATGATCATGACACATGATATCCTAGCCTATCACATGTATACATAGATGCTCACACCTGGACACACATGGCTGTCACCACACACACAAGATGAAAAAAATTTTAAAAAGAAATGCCATATTTCTTCCCTAGATCATCAAGGCTCACTAACCTTTAAGTGTAATCAGTGGGGATACACTTTGGTTTGCATGCCACGGAGAGACTTGCTTGACTTGACATAAATAACTGTGAATTGATCAACATAAAAAGCAGGTGGGATGGGGCTGGTGGTGCACACCTTTAATCCCAGCACTCAGAAAGGCAGAGGCAGGTGGGTCTCTTGAGTTCCTAGACAGCCTTGGCTACAAAGTGAGTTCCAGGACAACCAAGGCTACATAGCAAAACCCTGTCCCAATAATAATAAATAATGATATAACTAAGACTATTGGGCAGCACAAATTGAAACTGGTTACAAAGGATTAAAAAAAGAAAGAAAGAAAAAAAAAAGCCAGGCTTTGATGGTACTTAATCTTTAATCCCAGCACTCTGGAGGCAGAGGCAGGAGGATCTCTGTGAGTTGGAGGCCAGCCTGGTTTACAGAGCTAATTCCAGAACAGTCTACAAAGCTACACAGAAAAACCCTGTCTTAGGAGAAAAAGAAAGAAAGAAAGAAAGAAAAGACAGTTGGGGGAGTAGAGAGGATAGTGGATCTGAGAAGAGCTGGGAGAGTATGATCAAAACACAAAGAACTA